AGAAAGTTTTATTATTACAATTTTCATTCTTTTTTTTTTTTTCATTTAAAAGTCTGACTCCTAAACTATGTAATGAATTGTCTCCTCTAGCTGGACTAATTTCTAAGTGTAGTTTCTATGACCTGTTGATGGAGCAATAGAGTACAGATTAATAGATGGCTTTAATAAAACTGATTTATTTGGGCAATTTCCTCATGGTCAGCTAGTATGAAGACAAGAAGTCCCATTAAATCACCATGGCATAACAATTATAGTCAATCAAATTATAATTTACCTTACTGAAGTCAATTTCATGAGTCAATTTGAATTTGCCACTCCATTTGCCTTTAAAACTGACCAAGTCCTACTTCCTCTATCCAGCCTTCCTCAAGCCACAAAACCCACTCCACCACTCACTTTAGCATCATGCCTAGTACTCTATCCTATGCTGACAATAATGATGAGTGTCCCCTATAAAGCAGGGACTGTACTTGATGATATGCAAATAGGAATAGATAGGAATCATTACAATTTGCAGATAAAGAAACTGAGATTCAGGATCTTACCTTGAGTGATATGGCTGGTAAGGTGAAAAACAGAGAAGCAAACCTATCCACCCTCAGAGCTGACACTCGCCCATTATGCAGTACTGCCTAAGTAATGATAGTCATACTGTGAATTATTTTGACTTGTGAATTATTGTTTAAAAAATAGGTTTTATCTAACCAACCAACTTGCACACTGTATAGTGATTCTACACATGGTAGACACTAAACGTTTATACTGATAACTCTAATGACCTTCCGTCTTCCTATATCATGTATTTCTCTCTTGAAAACTCTGAGAGCATCATTCAATGATATTGTGTCCAAGATATTGCCTAACTGCCATAAGAACAACAGAGAAAGTATCAATAATCTTACTATCGGGCAAAACAATAGGGTAACATAGGAAAACCAACTTTGCATGTTAAAAGGCTGTAATAAAAAGCTCAATAAAGAATGCTGACAACCAGACAGTAACTCAGGAAGAAGMAGCAGTCCTGCGCTAGTAAGCAGCTGAAGCAGCTCATCTCATACAGTGCAGGTTAGTAAACACTTGCAGTAGGTAATTCTATCATACATTTCATGTATTTAAATGTGAAAGAAAAGTTTCTATTTAAAGTTTTAACTGATAAGGAAGAAAAATGATAAAGGAACTTTGTCTTTCACATAATTAGAGATTCTCAAATCCCACACATTTCAGATACAAACTGGGCATCAGCAAATGACTTTTAATTTTGTTCCTATTTCAGCTTTAGTTACATCCTGTAGTTACAGATACTACAGAATGAAAGAACAGATTGTAAGAAACAAAAGCACAGTTTGAGGGACAAGTAAAATGAAAGTATATTTTTGCAACCAATGACTTGCGGTCTTTAACAGAGAACCATATCTTTAAAACATCAGAAACATGAAGTATTGATCTGCACTGTCCAGTAAGGTARCAATAGGCTTCCCACGGCTACTGAGCACCAAAAATGTGGCTAAYCCAATTTAATATGTGCAGTAAGAATAAATCACACACCAGATTTCAGTAGGACAAAACATGTAAAATATCTCGATTTTTAATACTGGTTGCATGYTGAAATGATAGCATTTTAGATATACTGGTTTAAATGAAATGTTATTAAAATTAATTTCACCTGTTTTACTCAGGCTACTTAGAACATTTCAAATTATGTATCTGGTTTTCATTATACTTCTACTAGATGTGGATGGTGTAGAATTTGTTGTGGAAAACCTCAACTGTGATCTAACAGACTGTTAAGATTCAGCAGTCCATCAAAACAGCCTGCTGTAGAAAATTCAATTTTACAGAAGACTGATATTTTCTGTGTTATATAAACATGAAAATCAGAGTAGCTTGGATYTGCATATGCTCCGTCCCTGATCAACTCTGAAGTTAGTGACAATCTTGGGCAAGTGACTTAACAACTCGGGGCCAACCTACCTTCTAATTCTACTATGCAGGTTAAATACAATAATATAAAGAGTTTTTCTAGAATTTTAAATGGTAAGTATTATGATCTTTCTAAGAATACTTCTGTGACAAACTTTTAGTGTATCTTGGTGGCCCTCTATTTTAGAAAAAGACTAATAAATTAGTAGCCTTGTAGGTAATATTTTTCAGGACTTCAAATTTTGAATTGTAATAAAATATATGTACTATTAGGAAAGATTATAAAATTTTCATTTTTAGAGATCTTTAAGGAAAAAGAAGCATATTGTTGCTCCTTCCTGTTTAAATCAAGAAGATCAGCAGGAAGATCAGTTAGTTTATGCTATTTGTGAAAGGTAAATCTGGTTCTAAAAGGCAACTGGGTGATGTTGGGGAATTTGTTTAACATTTCTGGAGTATCAATCTCTAAAATTCCCTTCAGGCTCTTGTCAACAGTGAACACAGAACTCAGATACAAATTCCTGCTCATTGTTTTCAAAGCTGTCTACCTTACCAGTGTCTTATTTCTTAATATCCATTTCTTACCATTTCATCTACACATCTATTCTATTAAAAATATTTATTTATTAGTTGTAGTTGGATACAATACCTTTATTTTATTTATTTATTTTTATGTAGTGCTGAGGATCGAACCCAGGGCCTTGCACATGCTATCCAAGCGCTCTACCTATGAGCCACAACCCTAGTCCCCTATACATATATTTTTTAAAAGTTTCATGACAATCTTCCATGATGACTCCTTGCCCATGCTGATGTCCCATGAACTCCCATAAGCCCATTCTCCCCTCACACTAACTATATGTTTGAAGGCCATAGGACCATGAAAAACAAAAACTTTCCCCTTTCCTTATTCTCAATTCCAGGTTCTGGTTTAACTGCTCTTGCCTTATAGGTGCTCACAAAATTGTTTACTAACACATACTTGTTAAATATGAGAAAGGTATAGAGCAAAATAAGTGTGCTGTTTACAGCCTCAGCAATTTGGTGAGACCTTTTCTCAAAACAAAAATAAAAAGGGATGGGATTGGAGTTCACGAACCAGAGCACCTCTTGGTTCAATCTCCAGTATAGGGGGGAAAAAAAAAAAGGCTTACTGTTCCTAAACTGCCTGCACATAATCAGAAATAACTGCATCTGGTTATTTAGTTGAATGTCAAAAGTCACAAAAATGGTCTGTAACATAATTATTTGTGGAGTCACCTGCTCACCAAGTTTTACCACAATTAGATTTCTTCAGTAGACTTTTTTTTTTTTTTAAATCTGGGGATTAAATAAACTAGCTCTAGATTTGCTCTGGGAATGCATGTGACTTTAAGACATTAATTTTGGGGAGGGGAGAGGCTATGTGGGTAGGAATGATGGAATGAATGACATTATTACTCTATGTGCATGTATGATTATATGACCTAACTCTACATCATGTACAACTAGAAGAATRAGAAATTATACTCCTTTATGTATGATGTGTCAAAATGCATTCTACTTTCATATATAACTAATTAGAACAATTTAAAATTTTTTCTTAAAATGTAAGTTAAGATGGATTCATGCCAGAGGAGGAAAGAGAGGGGTTAATCCAACATCACTGGCATCCTTATAAAAAGACAAGTGACTCAGAGTAAAACACACACACAGATTGAAAGTAAGAACTGGGGWGCAGAGTATGTCCAGAAACAAGTTGAATACCCACTCTACTCAGGATACCCACTCTTTACAACTGCTGATCTTCACTAGAATCTATCTTCCAGTGTTTTTGCTCAATTTGTTGAGTGAGTGAATAATTAATGAATAAATCAACTGTGGGGTTGTTCACTACTCCAAAAAAATTAATTTTGTTTTCTGTAACATAGTTTGCTTATCTTGAAAAGAGAATTAATAATAATTCCATGCTCAAAGGCATGGTGACCCCACCAGAAATGTTCTATAAGCCATCAAGTCTCAAATAAGCAGATCTCACAATAAGAGCAAGTACATTAGCAATACAATATTGAGGCAAAATTTTGAAGAGGTGGGAGTTTGGTGGGGGGGGATATGGGGATTAGAATGCCTCATTACTACCCAAAGACAGTCATTTTTTCCTCATGGGAAAGTTTGCTTTGCATGTGCTAAAGAAAGCCAATCTGGAAGCTTACTTTACAGTCAGCCCAATTGTTCTAGTCATTCAAGGAGAAAATGTTAAGGGGTACTACTGCCCTTCACAGAGGAAGTAGCATCTGTAAATCATTAATAGTTGAATTAAGATCTCTTCAATTGCTTTTTCAATTAGGGACATAAATTAAGAAGTTTTAGAGAAAAATCACTTTTCCAGACAGTAAGTCCACTGTTTCCTCCTAGCACATGTAAGAGCACATAAGCTGCTGAGTCAGATTTTAATTCTATTTTATATTTGTACCATTATRTGCATAGGCATCAATTCTCTCTTAGGGCATGCTTGTTCAGTAATACCAACACCCTTTCCAAACCCTTGCTCCTACGAGCCTCTTTTTTCTCAACCAAACTGCTCCAACAAGCTTTAGACACAGTAGGCAGGCAATGCATAGTTTTTTAACCTTCTTTCTCAAAGGAGAATGCCTCCTTTGGGGGGGAAAAAAAATTAAGGTCTTCACTGGGGTTTCCCCTCTGAAGGTTTGCCACCTTTCCCAACAGCGGTCATCATGAGGACATTCCTCAATCCAAGCCCAACCTGAGTTCCTTTCTAGTAAATAAACACATTTCTAAATGTAAAAATACTAGCCTTCCTGAGTGCATCCAATTACTATAATAGCCTAAGAAAATGAGGCTAAACTTCTAAAAATTCTCCTATTTCAGGTCTCATGGACCTCTGAGGAAAGCAAGTAAATATGACCACATCAAACAAAATACCACCCTAATGATGCAAGTGTTAGCTGGGGATTCATACTAAGAATGGTATACTTCCTTTCCAGGATCATGGTGTGTTCAAATGACACATAATGGGCAATTGCTGTTTTTCTAGCTGTACCAATAAACTGAGTTTTCAAGGATATTTTCCAAGCACCCACCTTGTTGAGGACATCTCGCTGGCAGCCAAGATAAAGATTGGGAAGAATTCGTGTTGGCCCAATGTTGGCAACAGGCAAGCAAGGCTGAGAAATGCAGGTAGGGACAAGAGTGGATTTTCCTTCACAGAGGCCAGGGAAACAACGAGAGAACTCAGCAAACCCACCTAAGAATAAACATTATAAGATTATGTCATGCACAAAGTAAAAATCAGCCATTTGTAAACTACTCAACTAAAATTACTTAGAACAGAAAAATCAAATCCCACAGATCCAAGTAGATACCACTCCTTATGAGTTCCTTTCTTTAGCTGCTGATGCTAAATTTGATCATAGGATCCAGTAACAGATCTTGGTTTATAAGGCTACAATATGGAATATGMAAGTCCTAAAGGCATTTTACATGACTCTTCTTTCTCAAACATGCTCTTCATCTTCACAAATCCTATGATATCTGCTCCCCATTTCTCAGCCTCAAACAAATGATCTTTGTGGATAATAAAGAGAATTTAAAGTCAGTAACAAATAACCACTTAAGACAATTTTGCACAGAAGCAAAATAGGGATATAAAAACTGAATCAACGCCAAATGTTACTTCTTCTACGTAAAATTTATCACATAATTCTTTCTAGAACTTTACATCTTCCTATTATACATATTTTTAAAAATTTCAAACATATCAAAAATATGCCCCTACTCTTAGAAATATTATCTATATCAAGTTCTTAGGATTCTGTAGGCAGTTAGTCAAGGTTCCTACTGATTACCACTGATTTCTGAAGATCTGTTCATTTACTAAACACTAGAAAGAAGTGTTGACAGACCCTAAATTCATGAGACAAGATTCCTGGATTCTGAAAAGTTCAGTATTTTTCTAGTCCTGTTAATGATTGGCTCTATGACTTAATGAAGATACAATCTTGCCACCACTCAATGGAAAAAAGAGATCTGTGTAAAGAAAAAATTAAGGTCTGCACTGGGGTTTCCAATCTAAATAATCCTATCCAAATTCAAACCTAGGAACCAAAATGATTGGTAAATTTTCATAAAATCCCTTGCTGTCCAAATGCTCATTACTTCATAAGTCCAAACTCATAAGCTGAGATTTGAATTATAATACTTATATATTTATAATACTATTAAATTAAAAATAACATATTAAGTTTTATTAGAAGGTAGTACCATGTCTTCCAAAATTATCTCCAAAGAAACTGGTTAACTTTATTTAAGCCAAATAAGCTTTGCAAATTCATTTGACTATAGAATTGTCTCTAAAAATCTATTAATTTGCTAATGTAATGCACATTTACAGAAATGCTAGACTAGGATTATTGCAACTACTGAAAAGTAGCCAATTAGAATTCTATACCTACAAGCATAACCCACAGATAGATTCAAAGACAGGGATCAGCCAATACTGGTATGTGAGTGYCTACTGTTTAGAATTTATAATCTTATTTACGTTACTGTTCCTTTTCAGTGTCTCTAACTGTACAACACAGTTGTTATTTAAAGTGCGGTTTCTTTCCCCCAGGTAGTTCTCATAATATGATAAAAGATTCTCATCATTCTTTGCTTACCTTATTATACCACCCAATATAATAGGCACTATTTTGATTGTACAATTTTAAATTGTTCTACAGCATTAGATGATTCTAGTGTTTTGCTAAAAAAAAAAAAAAAAACTGTTTTCATATATGTATTTTTTATTTTCTGGATCCAGTACAGTTCATGGGATGACCTATCATTTAATCCTAATAAAACAATGTTCCAGTAAATGTTTTCAGAGAAATAAAAAGAAACTCCATTTGAATTTCATTTTAAACTTATAAGTAATCATACTTACAAATAATTTTAAGTAATCATAGGATGTACTGAACATTTGCCATGTGGCACACAGTACTCTAAGCCCTTTACAAGTATAGTTTCTCAATATTTATAATAACCCTATGAGGTAGGTACCATTACTGTTCCCATTTACAGATAAGAAAATAGAGTTTTAGAATGACATTGCATAATAACTAGCAGAGCTAGGATATGAGTCTGCTTCTCTGAGTCCTGTGGGTTTAATTTCAACTCTTCCCTTGCACGCTGAGCCAGTCTTGCTGATGGCTGTGGGGTCCAGCTTCACCACCTGTGATCTGCCAGTTCTTAGTACCAGGTTAATGATAGCCAACTGCCCTCTCCTAAACTGATGGAAGAGCCTTGCTTCCCTAAAGCTATATGGCTCAAAAGTTTCAATGTGGGGGAAAAATAAGAGAAGGAAACCTGACATGACCAGAGATAAGAGACTTGAAATATACTTTGTATGAAAGTCATAACAAAGTTTACAAAYGAACTAGCTGAAATGTAAATATGGTCACTGGTTTGTTCATGGTCACAGTGTGCAAGCTGGCAGTGAAGCTGAAGATGTCTTGGCTTTCAAGCTTCTCTACAAAACAGTTTTCAGAGGGATACTGTGGGAAGCCAACCTTATGGGTGACTGAGTTACACTCCCCAGCTGGGTGCTGAGGCCCTCRGTCATAGAAATGGGTGTAKCTTCCTACAGCCCCATGGGTGCAGCTATGCTCACCTGTTGCTTTGTAATATAACCCCTTGCCCTGTTTAGGATAGAATCTTCCATGGAAGTGCCTTGTGTGT